TAAAGTTTATATCTCCGCTACCTGGCATTATATTTCATGGCACACACGGCTCGAGGCCCAACAAGGTCTGATTTATGTCAGATCGGGCTCTCATAACAAATGAGTTCGACACCCCTGCATTATACAGTGTCAACAAAGCATAAAGGTAAAGGTCTCCCTTGCTCGAAAGCCAATCGAACCCGACTCTAGGGTTGCGGTGCTCATCTCCGTTTCCAAGCCGAAGAGCCAGCGCTGTCCGAAGACGTTTCCGTGGTCATGTGGCCGGCATGACTAAACACCAAGGTGCACGGAACGCTGTTCCCTTCCCACCGAAGTGGTACCTATTTATCTACTTGCAATTCCTTGCTTTCGAACAAAGCATACACCTACATTTAGCTTAGATGTCTTATAAAGCTTGGGAGCCTAGCCAGATCAACTAACGAACAGGAAGAAAGTAACATGCCTGGGGATTAAGATCACAGGGAGAGGTCCCCCTGACAGTCCCATCAATCAAAGAATCTTGTTTGTTCAGGAGAGATGGCCTTTTCAGTGATAGGCCCGGAAAAATTCGGAAAAAAACACTGAAGCTTTTTTGGTTTTTTCCCCGAAAAGTTGGAAAAATTGAAAAAAGAAAAGAAAAGAAAATTGATTATGGAACGTTTTATTTTAACATGATGAATAAAATATTTTAAGACAAGGTGTTCAAATATTTTCCAAATCATTTCTAAAAAATATGTATGGTATCAGATTGATCTAATTTCTGTGCACTGAGGACAAGAAAGTCCTAGGTTACAAACTGAACTCTCCAATGCAAGAACAAGATGCATTTCTTCCTTTAGGAGGTGCGATTGTCCGAAGAAAATAAAAAAGTTTCAGTTTTGTTTTTGCATGTGGGTGGGTATTCTGTAATAATTGTTTGGATACACTATATTTTTAATATGCTAGTTGTGATAATTTCATGCCAAGTAAAAATGTCCATAGTCATATTTAATGTTCCTAAAGTAACAGAATGACTTTCAAACTAGAAAAGACAAAAGAAATGCTAATGTAGCATTTTTTTCAATTTTTCCGGAAATTTCCGTTTCCCCCCGAAAAAACCCGGGTTTTTTTCCGAGCTTCAAAATTTCCGGAAATTTTACATCTCTAGAGTGTGCCCGGCCCCCTTCGCTTTCAGTTTTCGGCATTTGAAAAAAGTTTTGTTTAGGACCGTATCGAGTTAAATTTAGTAGCCAAAGACCTAGGACGACAGTGTTTTTCATGTAAACGGGCAGCGATAAGTTTAGCCGCTCATGAAATTGGTATTGTTTTATCATTTACAATATATTAAATTATTTAGTCAGCTTGACCCCAAATCGTGTTTTCAACTCGCCTTGCTGGGATATTTCTGCCATTCTACCCACAAGCTTAGCAAAGACGGCTTTTGAACCTTTCCTCTAATTCCTGAGAGAACTCTGTCTGGCCAGTGGCCAGTTGATTTCGTTGCTTGAAGGAACGGTAGGATTTGATTCCCAAGCAATATCTGTCCTACGTTGAGCAACCAAATTAAATTTCTTAGTCACCGGCTGTTTCCTGGCATTTGAATGTAATTGTTACTATTGATCTCCTCTTGGGCACCAGCGCTTGACTGTAAAACCTTTTGTGAGCTACTTTTCTTGGTCCGTTTTTGCCCCAAGCACTAGAGAGATGAAATTATGGGGGAAGGGGGGGGAGTATATACCTGTTAAAGTCTCCATTATTAGAACTATTGGCTGATTTTAGAGGCTGGCAACACACTGGAATGTCTGAATCACATTGTTTTGTCTTGCCTCTTTAAAACATCCTTTGAATTGGCAGAAGTAGATGGGTTTTTTTTTTAAATGACTCCATGCATTTTTTTGGTAATTGGCTATCGCATTTATTCTGCTAATGGTGCAAAAGAAAAATGATCGTGTGGGAATATATCATTGAGAGCCAGCATGGCAGAGTGGTTAGAGTGTTAGACTAGAATCCAAGAGACCCAGGTTCAAAACTGCACTCTACCCTGGAAGCTTGCTGGGTAACCTTGGGCCAGTCACAACACTCTCCGAACGAAACTACCCCACGGGGTAGGATAAAATGTGAAGGGGGAGACTCTGTGGCATTACACCCTGCTGAGTTCATTGTGTACGTGGGTCTTGGACAGGGGTTGCCAAACTGTGGCTCAGGGAGCCACATATGACTCGTTCATGCATACTTTGTGGCTCCTGTCAGGGCAGCTGGGGAAGTGAAAGGGAGGCATGTCTCCCCATTCGGTCTTCCCTTCCCCAGCCAGTGTTCCCCTCCCTGGGTAGGCTTAAGGTGTGGGGGGGAGCAGAGAAAAAAAGCAACTCTAACTTTAAATGCATTCTCAAAGCTTGGGGCCGGCTTGGAGAAGGCATTTGTCTCTTTAAATCACTTCCCTCACCTATTTGTTTTCTTTTCACACCTTCCTTCCTTCCTTCCTTCCTTCCTTCCTTCCTTCCTTCCTTCCTTCCTTCCTTCTCTCTCTCTCTCTCTCGTATAAATAAATATAATTAGCAAACCAATATCATTGGACAAATAAATATCATTATCTGTTTTATCCCTTTTGTTTTTATTTTCGGCAGTCTCGTTTATAATGTTAATAAAAAGCAAATTTGCATGTTTTCAATAAAAATGTATATGTAATATTTGTTCATGTCATGCGGCTCTTAAACATCTGATGTTTATTCTATGTGGCTCTTATGTCAAGCAAGTTCGGCCACCCCTGTTCTTGGATGTATCTTAGATCAGGTGTTAGCCAAATTGCCTTATTTCTTAATATATAATATAGTTATTAAATGGCAACAGGCATATAAGGGAGCAGTAACCTATGTATACAGGAGTCCCACTTAGTCCAGATTTCCAAGAATAAACACAGAGACCAGATCTTAAATTAAATGGTTTCTTTACACACACAGCGTTCCGTGCGCCTTGGTGTTTAGTCATGCCAGCCACATGACCACGAAAATGTCTTCGGACAGTGCTGGCTCTTCGGCTTTGAAACGGAGATGAGCACCGCAACCCTAGAGTCGGATTTGACTGGCTTTCGAGCAAGGGAACCTTTACAGTAAAATCTAAGCGTACACACAAGAATACAGAACTAGGAGAATTAGACAGAAAGGTACAGAGATGTTTGCATTAGCAGGAGAAGTTCATTGGTTGGGCAATAATTACCTGTCCGACGAGACGAAGCAATCCTGCAGCAAAAAATGAAGGGAGCCTAAAAGGGGAAAGGGCCGTATGTTGACCAGCAACACATGCGGTAGACTCTGGACAGCGCTAGGTCGAGAGTCAGCAAGGTAGGGTGGGGTCCGGTATAGAGAGAGAGCAATGGGGAATTGCCCTCTTTTTATATTGTAGCCTGACCAGGGGCAGGTGTCCCTTGTCACATTGTCCCCAGGAAGTGTCCACACAAAAACTGGTTTTGGGAGGAAGGGGGCTTAAGTGTTGGGCAATGGTATTTTCATTTACTTTAACAGTGTCACCCTTGTATGGGCTGAAGTGGCCAGGGTCGTTAGCGATGATTGTCCAGTGATCGCTCTGGGGAGGGGTCTTGCCGGTAGCAGTTCTTTTGCTATGCTGGGGAGCATATGTGCAGTATCTGGTGAAGGTGGGGAAGGGTGCCCGTATGCTAGAGGAGATGTCTGCTTATGGAGTCTCTGTAAAGATGCTCCGGGCTCCTTTGCACGGCATAGCGTCTTCATTCCAGCAGACTGTCACTGGCATCTGTGTACTCGTGCGGCTAGAGAGATTGGCTCTCTTCCTGCTGGGATGCAGGTGAGAGGCATCAGGTAATCCACGGATCCACTTTTGGTCTGGCACACCGTCTCAGGAGGAGGTTTCCCTCAGCTGGGCGCGTGTCCGCAGTCCAGGTAGTTGGCATCAGTGCGTGGTCACCATACAGTTATTTCCCTCGGCACACTCAGGGCTGCAATTGGGGCACAGGGGTATACGGTAAGAGACAGTCCTTTAGATAGCAGGGCTATTTTTGGGCAGGAACGCACAGGAACGGAGTTCTGGCTGGCTCCCGAGTTGGCCACGCCTAGCAGGAACTCATTAGCATAATAGGACACACCCAATAGCAGAAACTCATTAGGATTGGCTACATTAGGGGTGTGTGGCCTAACATGCAAAGGAGTTTAAAAAGCCCTGGGTTTTGACAACAAACAAGGTAAACAGAATAAGAAGGGAAAGGTGGGTGTGGCTGGATGACCACACTTCTGGTAACATGGTGGTGTGTCCTAATGGTCTAATGAGCGGTGCTGTCAGGGTGTGGCCTAATATGCTAATGAGTTCTTGCTGTTGGGTGTGGCCTATTATGCTAATGTGTTCCTGCCGGGCTTTTTCTACAAAAAGAGCCCTGGGCACACTTATTGTGCAGTCCAGCTATTAATGGTAGGTCTTAAGTCAATCAGAGCAGTAGAAGCTCTTTGCAGGGCAACGGGTGTCAAACACAAGGCCCGGGGGCCAGAACTGGCCTGTCCAGGGCTCTTACGCAAGCCCGCAAGCCACTGGTTGCAAGGGAGGGAGTGCTGGAGGGGAGTGGGCGGAGCCAATCCATTGTGGCCTAAGCACAGCAGAACAGCCTTGTCTTCAGTAGTCAAGCATTGTGGGAGCATCTGCTCAGTGCCGCACCGCTGCCTCTCCAGTCCGCCTGTGTGGGTTTTCCTCTGCACCCCCCTCCCAGACCACGGGGCCTCACGGTCAGGATACCCCAACCCGGAGCTTACAAGCTGCTGTCCTTTATACAGTTCTGTCTCTGGTACCTGGCATGATGTTTTATGGCACACATGGCCGGGCCCGACAAAGTGACATTTATGTCAGATCCGTCCCTCGTAAGAAATGAGTTTTGACGCCTATGTCTTAGACCCTTTTGAGCGTGTAAAGGGATAATGCAAGGAAAAGTACCTCGTCTCTGATTACAGCTTCATTGGATAACTTCAGAGATTAAAAACGAACGAGGTGGAATGATTAATGGAAGTGTCCTTTTTTCTTTCCAACAGGCAGCCGGATAAATTGGTGGTGGTGTGGACAAGGAGAAGTAGAAGGAAATCTTCTAAGGTTAGTTTTATTCAGCGAGGTCTTTTATTACGGTCTTAGACCGGCACAGAACCCTATACAACCTCACGAGGTAACAGAGGATTTTAAAATGCGCTGCAGTAAATGACTAAAAAGTAATTACTAGTTAAATACAATATGGCCCCATTCACACGGAGAAGTTGCCGTGCTAAAGACACTAATGTCAGGTGGATTTTTGGTGCGCGACCACACCGCAACATCTGGGAAGCGTAGCGCACCTGTGGCCAACCCGTGGCGTTCCGCCGAAGACGCACAGTAAAAAAAGTACCTCGGAAGGTGCACTAGTATCCAGAAAACGCGGGGCAGGGGCGGGCGTCTGATCGCGGGAGCACTAGTATCCCATGGCATCTGGCGCCCATCCACGTCCCGCCGCAAACCGGATGTTTTTCGTAAGCGCATGCGCACAGACACGTAACTGAAAGCAGTGCTGCTCTGTGGAACTGCGCATGTGCACAAACGCGAAACACTTGCCGTACTGCTTCTTTGCTCCAGCATCGCTGTGTGATCGCCAGCTAACAGCCTAAGCGCGGAGACTCGGGGGACCATGTGTTTGGGCTACCGCGCTTTATTTTGCTCCGCGGCGAACAGCCACGCCTCCCCCCCCCCACGTTATCTGGCCCGTGTGACGGGGGCCTATAATGGGTTTTAAAAGGAAACATTCAGTAAGGTAGTTAATAGGGCTGCCAACCTCCATGTGAGGCCTGGAGATCTGATATTACAATTTATCTCTGGACTGCAGAGATCATCTCCCCTGGAGAAACTGGCTGCTTTGAAAGGTGGTATCTATGGTATCATACCGTGCTGAGGTCCCACTCTTCTCCAAACCCTGCCCTAGCCAAAGGTAAAGGTAAAGGTTCCCTTGCTCGAAAGCCAGTCGAATCCGACTCTAGGGTTGCGGTGCTCATCTCCGTTTCATAGCCGAAGAGCCAGCGCTGTCCGAAGACGTTTCCGTGGTCATGTGGCCGGCATGACTAAACACCAAGGCGCACGGAACGCTGTTCCCTTCCCACCAAAGTGGGAAGCCCTAGCCGAACTCCACCCCAAAATCTCCAGGAATTTCCCATTTTTGAATTGGCAGACCCTAGAATTTAAAAGTACAAATACCTTAATTTACTCCTAGAGAAACTGCAGGTATACCCAATACTAGAGAAAGAGTTGCACATGGCTGCACCAGAGGCATGTTAATCTCTAATTTTTGCCATCCGAGAGGTAGGAAAAAATAAAAGTTGAAGAGAGAAAACAAATTGTGTAGTAAACAAAAGAGTGTATTATTTGGGCAGAAACGTTTGTAGTAGGACTGCCATATTTGGATATTATGCTAAACTTTATAACATTGGAAATATTTACCTCTTTAATAATATGCGATCGTTAAACACATAATAGCGTATTGACGCTATTTACGTTCAAACCAAAAACAAATCCTTGAAATGTGTTTTTCCCCCCTCATTGGTTCCCCTGCCACATATTTTACAATTTTTCCATTGGAAAAATTGAGTAAGTCCTCAGACGTCTTTATGCTATATATTTGGAATGAGTGAAATGCTTTGTAAGAAGTTTTTTTTTCTCATTCAAAAAGACCAACATTTCATAGGAGGTTTTCCCCCTCAGTGCTACCCTTTGTTGCTCAGTTTTTCTGTCTGGTGTAGAGCCAGTTTGGTGTAGTGGCTAAGTGCGCAGACTCTAATCTGGGAGAACCGGGTTTGATTCCCCACTCCTCCACTTGTACCTGCTGGATAACCTTGGGCAAGCCATAGTTCTGTCAGAGCTGTTCTTGAAAAACGAGCCATTTCTGTCAAGAGCTCTCTCAGCCCCACCTACCTCTCGGGGTGTCTGTTGTGGGGAGGGGAGGGGAAAGGAGTTTGTAAGCCGCTCTGAGACTCCCTTGGGTAGTGAAGGGCGGGGCATAAATCCCCGTGGGGTTTGATTCCCCACTCCTCCACTTGTACCTGCTGGATGACCTTGTGCAAGCCATAGTTCTGTCAGAGCTGTTCTTGAAAAAAGAGCAGTTTCTGTCAAGAGCTCTCTCAACCCCGCTAACCTCACAGTGTTTCTGTTGTGGGGAGGGGAGGGGAAAGGAGTTTGTAAGCCTCTCTGAGACGCCCTTGGGTAGTGAAGGGCGGGGCATAAATCCAATCTCCTCCTCCTCCTCCTCCTCTTCTTCTTCAAAAAATTGGAAACTTTCTCAGACATTTTTAAGCTGTAGGTGTGAAAAGAACTTCACCATAAGAAACAGTTTACCCCTTCTCAAAGAGAGAATGTTTCAGTGTTCTCCCAGATTTTCCAGTTTTTTTCCATTGGACTTGTTAAAAAATTCTTTGAGGGGTGGGGAAACTGGAAAGGAGCCCATTTTTCCCTTGACATTTTCTGGGTTTTCTCCCCCCTGAGCTCTCAAATCTCTAAATACAACGAAAAAAAGAGAGAGATTAGAGAGAGAGAGAGAGAGAGAGAGAGAGAGAGAGAGAGAGAGAGATTGGATTTATACCCCACCCTTTACTACCCAAAGGAGTCTCAGAGCAGTTTATAATCTCCTTTCCCTTCCCCTCCCCACAACAGACACCCTGTGGGGTAGATAGGGCTGAGAGAGCTCTTTTTCAAGAACTGCCCTTGAGAGAACAGCTCTGACAGAACTATGGCTTGCCCAAGGTCATCCAGCAGCTGCATGTGGAAGAGTGGGGAATCAAACCCGGTCCTCACAGATTAGAGTCCGCGCTCCTAACCACTACACCAAACTGGAAAGAACAACCTGCAGAAAGTAATACCAAACTATGGAAACAAATGGCCTGTATATCTTGCTGTAGAATCGAGACTGAGTTGTAGAATCTGGATTGAGCTATCGGGAGAAATGTGGGCATATCAATATTTTAATTCCAGAAAGAAACTACCAGATAAATGCCAATTAACTCAAACCCCCCCCCAATTGATTGTACTAACCAGTTTTTTTAAAAGCTGGATGAGATGGGGCCAAACTTGTCTCGTAGGGGAGAAAATTCCATCATCTCGGAGCTGCTAATGAAAAGGTACTCTCTAGGGTTGCCAGCCGCCAGGCGACGGCCTGAGATCTCCTGGAATTACAACTAGCCTCCATCTGACAGAGATCAGTTCCCCTGGAGAAAGTGGCTGCTATGAAAGGTGGACTCTTTGGCATTACACCCCACGGAGGTCCCTCCCCAAACCCCGCCCTTCCAAAGCTCTGCCCAACTGCCCCCCAAGTATTTCCCAATCCACAGTTGGCAACCCTGTCTCACACCCTCACCCTCACCAACTTTTTATAAAGAGATGAACACAGAACGGGCTGTCTCTACATGACTTAAGTGTGCAAGCACAGTTGTGTTGAAGGAAGTAGTCCTTTGAGTCCATTCTTCTAACCACTACACCAGCCTACAGGTGTTGGTTGAAGATCTCCTAGGATTATACTTGATCTCCAGTTGAAAGAGGTTCATCTGGAGAAAATCATGGGTTTGGAAGGTGGGCTCTATAGCATTCCCCATTTAGGTCCCTCCCCTCCCCAACCCCCACCTTCCTTAGGTTCCATTCCAAAATCTCCAGGTATTCCCCAATCCGGAGCTGGCAGCCTTAAATACAATGCTTGTTGGACCAAATAAGAGTAACTTGATCTGTAAACTGTCTAGAAGATGAAGAAGAAGAGATTGGATTTATACCCCGCCCTTCACTACCCAAACGTGTCTCAGAGCGGTTTACAATCTCCTTTCCCTTCTCCTCCCCACAACGGACACCCTGGGAGGTAGGTGGGGCTTGAGAGAGCTCTTTCGAGGACTGCTCTTGAGAGAACAGCTCTGAGAGAACTTGTGCCTGACCCAAGGTCACACCAGCAGCTGCATGTGGAGGAGCGGGGGATCAAACCCGGTTCTCCCAGATTAGAATCGGCTGTCTTAACCACTGCACCAAACTAGGAAAGTGGGCTGCTGAGAGCTCTTTTACATTTTAATGTGGGACAAGACTAAAGGCCCTTAGCTACTTGGGACAGCTCTGTTGGATCACATCTAGCAGATTATCTGTTCTTTCTTTCTGTTTTTTTTTTTTAACAGAACTGAGTTTCTTCCAGGGCTAGAATTGTCTTGCAGCAGCTTGTCGATTAATCATGTGTTTAATTTGGACCATCTCTAAAATATGCCCGTCTGTAAAAATAGCTGTTACCAAGTTCTGGAGCGACAGAGTTGGATCCCATCCCTTATTTCTTTTTGCATCCCTCTTTTTCCCGTTGAGCTAAGCGCTTCCCCTCACATAAGACCAGCATCTTTTCAAAGAGCCAAAGACGTTTGGGTGTGTGTATGTGTCTGTGTGTTCAGAATGTGCCTGACACAAGAAGAATATGCTCCACAGCAGACAAAGAGGAGCACAAGTAGAAGAAGAGAAGAGATTGGATTTATACCCCATCCTTCACTTGGAGTCTCAGAGTGGTTTACAAACTCCTTTCCCTTCCCCTCCCCACAACTGACACCCTGTGAGGTAGGCGGGGCTGAGAGAGCTCTTTCCAGAACTGTCCTTGAGAGAACAGCTCTGACAGAACTGTGGCTTGCTCAAGGCCATCCAGCAGCTGCAAGTGGAGGAGTGGGGGAATCAAACCCGTTTCTCCCAGATTAGAGTCTGCACAAGGTATAGGGTTCAAGCCTAAGTAAGGGTTTTCTAAAGGTAACTGATGTGATTCTGTTGATCTGATAACATTTGCCTCCAGAACCATAGATCAATAAATATTCCTAGGCCCTTAGTCATCCTGCCAGTAATGCAAATTATTATACATGTTATTAGTTTCACCTTAATTGAATTCTAGGAAGTGAGTCAAATGCCACAGTCTTTTGCAGTAAGGGAAAGTATTTGTGTCCAAGAATTATATAAACCTTTTCCCGTCTCTCCTTGGGTTTTTCTTGTTGTCTTTCTCATGAAGGAGGCAGACAGAATATGCTTCAATGGTGTCCAGTAGATTGAAAACGGAAGAAAAGTCTTTTAAAAAAATCTATCTTTTGGGGGGGGGGGGGGGGGAAATCAAGGAATCAAATGTGTATGCCCCAGTTTTAGCAAATCATGTAGCGTAGGATCCTGTTTGTCTCTATAGTTTCAGAGGGCAGCTGTTTTGGTCTGCGGTAGAGCAGCGAGATTCAAATCCAGGAGCACCTAAAATGCCATTTTCTCTCCAGGCGAACTGATCTCTTTCCCCTGGAGATCAGTTGTAATGGCAGAAGATCTCCAGCCATCTGTCACGCTGTAACAATCACACTGGAGGCTCCTGTCTTATACAGTTCTACTTGCAACCAAAATTAATACACAGAACAAATAGTTTTGCCGCCATACATCGACGACAACTCCACCCGTTGAATAGTGACCTAACAGTTGCTTAGAGTTAGAGATAACTGTTTTTTTCTCCATTTGCGCTCAGGCTTGTAGAACCCAGAACATCTGGCTGATGTGTTTTCCTAGTCCTTGGTGCCCCCGTAGGTTTGCTGCGCTAGTGAAAGTCCTCGGGTTTCCCTTTTCTCTACAGATTCAGAGCTCTGCGACCAGGAACGCTGTGTTACTACAGTACCGGATTGTTTAGCAAGTCAGGGCAACGGATGGAATCTTGTTTCTAGTCAGAGCATGAGTAAGCTGCCCAAATATTTCTCTTAACTTTTTTTTTTTTTGTAAGAGCAGTCTTCACTTTTGTCCTTATGTGGTGGACCCCTCCTTGCTGATAACAGTTCAGATAGTTCAGTCAGTGTCGGGGCTTGCTGTGATCCAGTCGCAAGTCAAAAGAGCAAACGTGCCTAAAATATGGGCAGGGAAGGATGGCGCGGAGGGTTTTCTTCGCCGACAACAGGAGCTCGTTTTAAGGGTTTGATTCACACAGGAGACAGCCTGTGGGCGCTGCCGCTTTTGGCCTTTCTGTTGTCCTCCATTGCTATAGTTCTGCTACAGAACTCTCGAGAGGCATTATGCTTAAAAGCTTTCACTTCAAGCAGCAACCCATAGGTTGAGAGTACAACTGACCTTTGCGGGGCTCTTTTTGTAGAAAAAGCCCACCAGGAACTCATTAGCATAATAGGCCACACCTAACAGCAGAAACTCATTAGCATATTAGGTCACACCCTGACAGCACCGCTCATTAGCACATTAGGCCACACCCCCATGTTACCTGAAGTGTGGTCATCCAGCCACACCCACCTTTCCCTTCTTATTCTGTTGACCTTGTTTGTTGTCAAAACCCAGGGCCTTTTTTTGTAGCAGGAACTCCTTTGCATGTTAGACCACACACCCCTAATGTAGCCAATCCTAATGAGTTTATGCTATTGGGTGTGGCCTATTATGCTAATAAGTTCCTGCTGGGCATGGCCAACTCGGGAGCCAGCTGGAACTCCGTTCCTGTGCGTTCCTGCCCAAAAATAGCCCTGGACTTATGGCAACTCCGTAGGGTTTTCTTTTTTCTTTTTCTATTTTTTAATACGTGTGAGTGTGTGTGCACCTGGAATTCATGCACCTGGAAGGTTATCTGCACGTAAGAAACCAGATCTTGGTAAAATATGTGAAGTTTTATTAACTATCTTAAGAAATAAGGTATCACTAGGCAGCACAGCCTCTACAATTCTGCAGCAAGAAAATAAGAAAAGCTAATTTCTCTAGCTAATACTTCAATACCTGGTATTAGATGGCATACCTTTTAGAATATCAGAGTCCAAGCTATAGGCTTAAGCATTGTCTGCATAGCAGTCCGTCGTGATGAGGACGTCAGTGCAACACCAGCATGCTTGGCCCCACCATCAGTTTCTCCTTGGGGTCGCCCGCCGCAGCCTGGCAGCCCCAAATCTAAGGTGGCGGTAATGTAAGGGAGGAGCTCAAGGGGCTGAGGCTAAGGCCCAGCATCAGCTGAGGCGCAGGCTAGAAGTCCACAAAAGATCCCGGTGTGGATCCAGTCAGCCAAAGTAAGACGGCTTTACCCGGAGAGAGCCGCTTCTGGAATCTGGCGTCAGGAAATGGGTCTTTTTAACTGAACCATTGATGACGTGTCAGAAAGTCTAGATATTGAAGAAGAAGGTGGCAAATCCAGAGAGACCTCTTTGTGGTCCGTCTAAAAGTCATAGTGGGGCCCTGATCTCGGAAGCGAAGCAGGGCCGCCCCTGGGAAGTATTTGGAAGGGAGACCTCCAAGGAATACCCAGGCCGGGACGCAGAGGCAGGCAATAGCAAGTTTGGTGTAGTGGTTAAGTGCGCGGACTCTAATCTGGGAGAACCGGGTTTGATTCCCCACTCCTCCACTTGCACCTGCTTATGTGACCTTGGGTCAGTCACAAGCTCAGGCACAGCTGTTCCTGAAAGAGCAGTTTGTGTCAAGAGCTCTCTCAGCCCCACCCACCTCACAGGGTGTCTGTCGTGGGGAGGGGAAGGGGAAGGTGTTTGTAAGCCGCTCTGAGACTCCAAGTGAAGGGCGGGGTATAAATCCAATCTTCTTCTCTTCTTCTCTTCTCTTCTACCTCTCTGAAGTGTCCAAGCCCCCCACTAGGGGTCGCCAGAAGTCAGGCCCGACTCCCAGGCTCACCCATGCACACTCTCACACACAAACAAAATAAAAGTCACAGTGGAAAATCACGTTTTCGGAACTTGGAGGCCGCTAGTTGTGTACGTTGTTGTCCGTTAGTCATCCGTTCCTGCGTATCCTTGACGAATCTTCCTCTGCACATTTACTAAAGTAATTGAGATTGAATTTACAAGGTTCTCCCCGTTCTTTCTTCAGGCTCACAGCTGGCAGCCAGGAATAAAAAATCCATACCGTGGCGTGGTGGTGTGGCCTGTTCCGGAAAACATTGAAATCACTGTGACACTTTTTAAGGTAAGCATTTTTTTTTATTATTATGTTTGCAAGCACAGATGAGTATGGATTCAAATGGGTTTATTTTGGGGTCATTGAGTCTTTAGTTGTAAGCATGTTGCATTTGAAATATGCCCTATTGCAGGAGTCCTCAACCTTGTTGAGCTTGTGGGCACCTTTAGAATACCAACACAACATGGTGGGCGGCAATGCTTCCTCTAAGCTGTGAGCAATTTTGTGAGCAAAAATCCTACTTTGTGAGCTACTGGCATTAAAGTTGTGAGCGAGCGATTTGGCTACTGCATAAACTAGTTTGCCCTGGAGCCATCCTTCCTGAGCTAAGGCAAAAATGTGTGAGCTAGGCTCACACTAACTCAGCTTAGAGGGAACACTGGTGGGCGGGTCCCTAAGATGGCTGCCACAAAATGGCTACTGCAGGAGGCGGAGCCAGCCATAAAATGGCCGCTACAGCTTACCTTTCAGTCACACAGCGAAGATTCCTGTGGTGTGGTGGCAGATACTGCCAGAAGCTATGTTTTTAAAAGTATGGAGATGACAACGTACCTTCGAACAGTGGAACACGCTCACTGAAATGGTGAGCAGTGTTACATTCCATGTCCATTGAAGCCAATGGGTTTAGAAGGGTGTAACTCTGCGGTGGCTTAAGTGTTTAAGCTGCAGACTGGAAAGTTGGTAGTTCAGCAATTCGAGACCTGAGTGCCACGTGATGGAGTGAGCTCCCGTCTCTGGTCCCAGCTCCTGCCAACCTAGCAGTTCGAAAGCAAGAAATTGCAAGAAGATAAATAGGTACCACTTCGTTGGGAAGGTAACAGCGTTCTGTGCGCCTCGGCATCTAGTCATGCCGGTCACATGACCAGGGAGAAGTCTTCTGACATTTTCCTTCTCACCTTGACACAGAGAGTACTCCATCCTTCAGTGTTTATACCTCTGAGGATGCCAGTCAGAGCTGCTGGCAAAACGTCAGGTCCTACGATGCCAAGACCATGGCCATACAACCCGGAAAATCTACAACAACATGTGAAGATTATTCTTTCTCAGAGAAAAATTAGATTTAGGAAAGATGCCCAGAATGAAGCTTTTTCAAGATACTTGTTGACGTTAATAAATTACAGCCAAACTTACCATTTTAAGACTCCAACAGACTCCTTTAAGTTAAACGGTGACTGCAGTAAGAAATACTGAAATAAAGGGTAAAGCAGTTGGAAGCCGGAACTGCACAAAACGGTAAATGTGACTTGATCCTTTAGCAGCACGCCCTCTGAGAAATCGCAGAAACCATGAGAATAATCGAAAGAGTAAATAAGGTTCGGTCAGGACAGATTAGATAATGAAGCAGAACTGCAGAGTGCAAACAGGACAGGATTATGGAGATCAAGACACGCAGAAGAAGTTATCAGGACGAACGATGCCCCAGCATATGAAACATCCTTGTTTTTTGGTGTGTAATGGATAGTATCATTTTTGCGTCTTCATAATATAAAAGTCTGAAGGATAGCACTCCTGGCTGGCTGTTTGCCAGTGACGTGGCTGAATTTGAATTAGGGCTGTGCAGGGAAGGGAAAGGCGATTTAATCCTACAGGCCTGCTGGAATTTGCGAATTGTTAGACTTTTAAAGAAGGGGCGAAGACGGGGGTTTAAGGAAACCACCGAGAACGGTTTCCAATCAGAACAGGCAATGCGGAACTAGATAGTCCAGAGATCAGATACCGTGTAAGGCAAATCATTTATCTATAGATAGTTATAGCGAGCCAGTTTGGTGTAGTGGTTAGGAGCGCGGACTCTAATCTGGGAGAACCGGGTTTGATCCCCTACCCCTCCACATGCAGCTGCTGGTGTGACCTTGGGTCAGTCACAAGTTCTCTCAGAACCACTTCGGCATTGCCTTTCGGCTCTCTTCCCCCCCGAACCAGATGGCCGGGGGGGGGATGCTGAAGTGGATTGGGACTGAAAGATCCGAGCCACTTCACCACTGCCTTTCAGCTCCCCCCCTCCCCCCCAACCAGATGGCCGGGAAAGGGCAATGCTGAAGTGGTTTGGATCTGAAGGATCGAGGCCACTTCCGCATCAACTTTCAGGGGCCCCCCCCTGAACAAGACAACTGGGGAAAAGAGGGGGGAAAGGAAAAAAAAGAGCTGTTCTCTCACTGGCAGTTCTGGGAAGAGCTCTCTCAGCCCTACCTACCTCACAGGGTGTCTGTTGTGGGGAGGGGGAGGGAAAGGAGTTTGTAAGCCGCTCTGAGACTCCCTTGGGAAGTGAAGGGCGGAGTATAAATCCAATCTCGTCTCCTAGATATAGAAGATTTCAGTGAGATTGCTTTGTGGTGAATCCTGGCCCCTCTGGCATCCAGTGTAGAATAGGGCTGCTAAGTGGGGGTGGGGGGCGGGGAAACCCCCGCTTTAGAGACCCGATTTCCGCCACGGTGGAATTGGGCCCCGGGGGGAACTCCGCCCCCCCCGGAAGCGCAGCGTGGCTGCGTCACCAGAGGTGACGCAGCCACGTCGCTCACGTTGGGGGTGTGGCCCAGATCGTCGGAGGGAAAACTCTATGGTTTTCCCTCTGACGATCTGGGCCACGCCCTCAACGTGAGCGACATAGCACGTCACTTCCTGTGACGTGCTGGCGGCGCGCCACCGAGGAGCTCCCGGAGCCCGGCAAGGCTCCCCCGCTGCCAAGGTAAGAAGACTTGGCGACCCTAGTGTAGAACCACAGAGTAGGATCCAGCATAATTTTCCCACTAATTTGTTTATTTACTTCATTTGTACCCCTCTTTTCTCCTCAGTGGGGATGCAACGAGGTCCTTCATCATTGCCTGCCCGTGGGCAGCAATCCCAGACTCCCTCGGGGGTCTCCCATCCAAGTAATAACCGGGGCCGACCCTGCTTAGCTTCCAAGGTCTGATGAGATCAGGTTAGCCTGAGCTATCCAGGTCAGGATCAGCTACCATCACCCCCTCTGAAAAAACACAGTTTCATCTGTATACACACCCTCGGTGAATCCTTGTTGTGCGCGAAGCTGAAGGAAAGAAATGTTGTGGTTTGCTTGTTTCTCCCAGCAGATGCAAAATAAGTCAGGAAATAGTGAATGGGTCGCGTGTTCTGTACCAGCAGGAGAGGCGGCCAGTTCTAGCCCATGTATAGCCCAATCTCGTCAGATCTCAGAAGCTGATCAGGGTCGGCCCCGGCAAGTATTTGGATGGGCGACCTCCAAGGAATACCAGGGTCATGATGCAGAGGCAGGCAACGGCAAACCTACCTCTGTAGTGTTCCCTCTAAGCCAGTGATGGTGAACCTTTTAGAGACCGAGCGCCCAAACTGCGACCCAAAACCCACTTATTTATCACAAAGTGCCAACACGACAATTTAACCTAAATACTGAGGTTTTACTTTAGGAAAAAAACAACTCATACATTAACTTAAGATGATCCAAACAAAGTAAGGAAAGCAATCCCAAATGCTTTCATTTACTTAAAATTATTTGGCAGAGAATTCGACACTTTAATGATGGTCTGGGCCTGGCTGCGGCGAAGGCACTCGTGCCATCTGAGTGCCACCACTGCTCTAAGCTGAGTGAGTGTGAGCTAGCTCACAGTTTTTTAGCCTCCGGCTCACGCACTTTTGTCTCCGCTCAGGAAGGAGGGCTCCAGAGCAGACTAATTTATGCAGCAGCCAAATCGCTCGCTCACCACTTTCATGCCAGTAGCTCACAAAGTAGAATTTTTGCTCACGGGACTCCACAGCTCAGAGGGAGCATTGCACCTCTGTGCATCTTTTGCCTTGAAAACCCTACGGCGTGGCTATAAGTCACTTGTGACTTGACGGCACTTTCCACCACCATATTATTCTACCCTTTTACTCCAATTGCGTCCAAAATAACTACTTGTCCTCTGGCTCCATGCTTGCATTAATGCCGATCGTAATCCCAACTCCCCCAAGACGCATATATTTGAAGATTGAGCAACGGGCACTTTTGGGCCATTATTTCTCCGTCTTGAGGGACGTGCACCTATTAAAGCCGTAGCGCGTTATTGGCATGCAGCAGTCAGTCTTGAGAGCCAGCTGTCTCAAGTGGGGGCAGAGTTTTACTGCTCTTTACCGAAGGTCGAGGATTCCCCCGGAGAGCAGTGAATGTCTGCCGCATGGTTTTGGGCAGCCAAAGTACTCACAGCCGCCCCTTTATCCTGACCGCAACTGCTTGTACTGATTAAACACTCAAGATCGCAGCCCAGCTGCTGGATTTTTATTATCTGTAGTGGGGAAAGTATGCTGATTGAATGCGTCGCTCAGATGCAGCTATATAGAAACCTGAGACAAAGGCTTGATAACACGCAGGAAACGGTCTGGGGGAGAATATGGGCAAGCCAGGTGTTTTGGGAAATGATAAACACACACATGGACCAATGCGCCCTCTAAGCTGTGGGGTCTTGTGAGCAAAAGTTCTACATTGTGAGCTACTGGCATGAAAGTTGTGAGCGAGCCATTTGGCTACTGCATAAATTAAAATTGCTCTGGAGCCCTCCTTCCTGAGCGAAGACAAAAATCTGTGAGCCAGAGGCTAAAAAACGGTGAGCGAGCTCACACTCACTCAGCTTAGAGGGAACACTGATTATGGACTCAGGCCTTTTTGGTCCATCAGGATCAACATTGTCTACTCAGATCGGTAGCGGCTCTTCAGGGTCTCGGGCAGTGTTCCCTCTAAGCTGTGGTTAGTGTGAGCTAGCTCACCGTTTTTTAGCATCCGGCGCACATATTTTTGTCTTAGCTCAGGAAGGGATGGCTCCAGAGCAAAACTGATTGATGCAGTAGGCAAACTGCTCGCTCAACAACTTTAATGCCAGCAGCTCACAAAATGGAATCTTTGCTCACAAGACTCCACAGCTGAGAGGGAGGCATTGGTCTCAGGCAGAGGTCTTGCCTGTCACCTACTGCCAGATTGTTTAACTGGAGTTGCTGCCAGATTATTTAACTAGAGATGTCGGGGACTGAACCCGGGACCTTCTGCATGCCCAGCAGATGCTCTATCGCCGAACCACGGCCCCTCCAGACCCATACAGATGGTGATACATCTGGATTTGTAAGTGGCTGTTGAAATGGTGTTATTGTTAGGATTAGAGGGTAAGTCTGGGCTTTAGTTATTAATGAGAATGTTAAGTGTAGCCTTTTAGCAGCCCACCTGCAGATGGCGGAGACCCTCCTCACGTATTCAGTCTGAGTGGAGGATTTGGCTGAGTGGCCTGCCGGTTTCACAGAAGCCATGGCCTCCTGTTGGACAAGGGACTTGACTCCTATGGTAGACGCAGTAGGCGTCACAACTCGAAAAATGCCCTTTCTAAACCACCAAAACTTGAGGATCAACCACCAAGACCTGAGGATCAGCCAGTTTGGTGCAGTGGTTAAGAGCGCGGACCCTAATCTGGGAGAACTGGGTTTGATTCCCCAGTCCTCCACAGGCAACTGCTGGTGTAACTTTGGGTCAGTCACAAGTTCTCTCAGAGCAGGTCTCTCAAGAGCAGTCCTTGAAGGAGCTCTCTCAGTCCCACTTACCTCACAAGGTTTCTGTTGTGAGGGGGGAAAGGAGATTGTAAGCCGCTCTGAGATTCCGAGTGAAGGGCGGGGTATAAATCCAATCTCCTCCTCCTCCTCCTCCTCCTCCTCCTCCTC